AAATTTCAAATTGTCACCAAATTAAATGGACTATGTACGATCGATCGGTCGGATTAATCGATTGTTTGTAATAATAATAATAATAATAATAATAATAATAATAATAATAATAATGATGATGAGACATTTAATGATATAATAATAATGATAGAGTACAATACATTTAAAAGTAACAAGGTTCAGAAAAATGTACTCTTAAAAATGACTCATTATTATTATAATTTTTTTTTTTTTTTCACATTTTGACAAAGAAAATTATTATTATTATTTCTTTTTGTTTTATTCTGACGTCATATAATTCGTCGTCATTTCTCGGTTAAATAAATAAATAAATAAATTTTGTCATTTTAGCATATTTTTTTTTAATAACAATTTATTTATAAATTTAGTAATCATCGCACCTGTCGTGTGTGTATAATTTTAGAAACAAAAAGAAAGAAATTTATGGAATTTTTCCATATATTAAAAATAATTTACGTAAACAATTCATGTGTTCAAAATAAAACAACCAGAACAACAACAACAACAACAACCACAACCTTCGTCAAATTTTATTATAAAAAATAAAACTATAAGTAGTATTCGAACCTATCAAAAACAGGTATGAATGACAAAAGGGTTATCATAAGTTTAAAAAGAATGAAACACGTAATAAACAATACCGGAAGTGATCGAAATAAAAAAATGTTTGTCGTATATACAAACAAAAGAATTGTGTTTGTTAACATGGTTTGTCTTGTTTTTATATTTATTAGTTGGCATATTTATCCCGGCCTTAGTAAGTAAGAAAAAAATAAAATTATATGACGAGTTTAGTTCGAGCCTGCGCTTTAACATTGTGGAAACGTGAATCGTTATTCTCAAAATCCGTTTTTTTTTTTTTTTTATTTGTGTTTGTGTGTTTGTATTCTGCTTGTTGACTTCAACAAGTTATTCGTTTGTTTGTAAATAAATGAATACAAAAAAAAAAAAAAGATCAGTTTTTTGAGTTGAGAATTTGAAAGATTATAACTTATTCGGTGAGTGTTTTATTATTATTATTATTATTATGTGAAATTATTAATATTATTAATTATTTTCTATTGGTTTTTGTTTTTTGTATTAAATAATGCATTTAAAACGAGAGGGGAATTTAAAAAAAATTGTTTTGTTTTGTTTAAATGTAAACTTAAAGGGAGTTTTTACGATAATAATAATAATATTAAAGTGACGTATCGATAAAAAAAAAAAATTTTCCAACAAAGAAGGTTTTTCATTTTACGTCCATCGAACTTTTTTTCTTTTTTCCGGGAACTGCAGCATCCCAGCCCTGACCTTGATACCGAAAGTTCGACCTTGAAAATAAGTGAAAGGATTTTTTATTTTTATTTTTATATTTTATTTTTTTAAATTATTATTATTATTATTATTATCGTTTGTTTGTTTGTTTCGAAAGAAAAAATGCAATTAAAATTTTCTTTAATAGTTGGTTTATTATCATTATTATTAAAATTTGAAAATTGTTTTGTTTTTGTACGAAAATAAATTTTTAATAAAAAAAACAAAACATGATTCGTATATCAGTTGTTGTTGTTGTTGTTGTTTTTATTGTTTTTATAATTTAATTAATGTTTATTTACGTGCCTATTTGGATTTATTTAATATTTTTTTATTTAATATCAAAAAATTGATAAGAGAAATTTTTTTTTTTTTTTGTCGACTGGTTACAAACAAAGAAATGTCATGTCGTTGTTGTTTGTGTTTGTTGTCGTTTCCTCTCGTAAATGCATATTTAATCGAATTTTTACACAAAAAAATTGATTTTTCTTATTTTTTTGTTATAGATTTTTTTTTTTAAATAAAAAAAAAAACCCGACAGCTGTTTGTTTCGAAACAACACCGATCGATTTTTTTTTTTTTTTTTAAATTTACCGAGACTGGTTTGAGACGAGGTCAAAATGATAATGAAAATATTTTCGGTTCTTGCAACAAAAGCAAGTACGAGAATCGGTTTAAATGAAAATGCAGTCAATTTGGTACGAAACATATCGACGACAAATTGTACGAAAATGAAATCATGTTTAGAACAATCACCCAATTGGAAAATGAACAAAGCTGTTTTGCAAAAATTTTTAAATCTCGAACAACCGAGCGATAAAAGTATAATATCGTATATATGGATCGATGGAACTGGAGAACATTTGAGAATGAAAGACAAAGTCGTACACAGCGTACCGAAAAAAGCAGAAGATTTATCGACTTGGAGTTACGACGGAAGTTCGACATTCCAAGCCGACGGTCACAATTCTGATACTTACATGGTTCCGAGAGCTTTGTACAAGGATCCTTTTCGACCGGGACCACATTTTCTAGTTTTGTGCGATACTTACAAACACGATAAAACTCCAACGGCAACAAATAACAGAGCGAAAGCTTTGGATGCGTTGACAAAAGCTGAAAAATATAAATGCTGGTTCGGAATCGAACAAGAATACACTTTGTTAGACATGGACGGTTATCCTTTTGGATGGCCTAAAAACGGTTATCCTGGCCCACAGGGTCCGTATTACTGCGGTGTGGGTGCCAATCGAGTTTACGGACGAGATATCGTTGAAGCACATTACATAGCTTGCCTGTACGCTGGAATTCCGATCGCTGGAACGAATGCCGAAGTCATGCCGGCTCAATGGGAATTTCAATGCGAACCGACTCCGGGTATAAAAGCCGCAGATGATTTATGGGTCGCCAGATATCTTTTGCATCGCGTCGCCGAAGAATTTGGAGTTGTCGTAACACTAGATCCCAAACCCATGCAAGGACAATGGAACGGAGCTGGAGCACACACGAATTTTTCAACGGAACCCATGAGACAAGACGGAGGAATGAAACACATCGAAGAAGCCATTGAAAAACTATCGAAAAGACACAAGGAACACATAGCCGCCTACGATCCATCCGGTGGAAAAGACAACGAAAGAAGACTGACTGGAAAATTGGAAACGTCATCAATTCACGACTTTTCTTCATCTGTTGCTCATCGAGGATGCAGCATTCGTATTCCAAGAGGTGTAGCTGATGCGGGAAAAGGATGGTTGGAAGATAGAAGACCATCATCTAACATGGATCCTTACTCGGTGTGCGACATCTTGGTCAGGACTATCTGTTTGGATGAAAAATAATCATTATATCAATACACGAAAAAAAAAAAAAACAATGCTCAACGATAAGAAAATGATACAAAATATCATTTTTTGATTTTTTCTTTTCTTTTCTTTTCTTTTTTTTTTTTTTTCAAAGGTTGGTATAATTTAAAAAAGAGGATTATATATATATAAAAATAAAATTATTTTTTTAAAAATTTGACGTAAAAAAAAAAAGAAAAAAAAAAAAACCAGGAGAAGGGTCGAAATGTTATATGAATCGTTATTATTATTAATATTATTATTGTTATTTATGTCACAAAATTTTTTTTTTTTTGTTTGTACATTTTAAAATTTATTTAACTATTAATTAATTATTATTATTATTTATGTAATCGAAACAAAAAAAAAAAAGAGACAGACGTATATCCGTACAGGTTTATTATATTTATTATTATTATTATTATTATGCTGTTGAATGTATTATAATCGAATGAATGTTTATTGAGCGAAAGTTTTTTAAAATTTTTTTTTCGTATGAGGGTTTGTGCGCGTGAGTGTGTATTTGTATAAAAAAAAAATAAAATAAAAATTTATGTAAAAAGTTATGAATTTATTATTTAAAAAAAAAATAATAATAATAAGAAATCGAAAAAGAATTATATTTAAAAAAAAAAAATGTGGAAGTTGTTAAATTTTTATATTAACTTGCTCTCTCTCTCTCTCTCTCTCTCTCTCCCGTTAATCAAATCCAATTAAAAATTATCATTATTATTATTAGTTAATGAGAATTACTATCTTTAAAACATGGAGGTCATTAATAAAATGTGTCAAAAACAAAAAAAAAAAAAAAAAAAAATTTTTTTTTTTTTAAAAAGAGGTCAAAAATTATTATTATATTCCGGTATGAATTTTTTAGTAACGTGGCAGGAGTAAAGTATCGTGGCTTTTTGTGGTTTCGTTTAGGCCATCGTGACTTAGGAATACGTTGACCCGAAAATATTAGGGCTCGTTATATTTATCAAATAAAATTTCTTTAAAAAAAATTTAAAACTACTACAACGATTAGGTATGAGAACATAAGAAGAAAAAAATTCTATTTTTAACCAAAAAAAAAAAAAAAAACGTGGTTCTAGTCAAACTTTCCAAAAAAAATTTTTTTTTTTTTTTTTGTAATTATTTTTTTAAATGGCGAGAAATTTTTTATTTTTCTACGTAAATAAATATTCGTATAAAACGTGGGCCCTTTTCTCTCTCTCTCTCTCTCTCTCTTTCTCTCATACTTTCTTGAAACGATTTAAAATTCAAGTTTATTATTATTATTATCATTTTATCAATGGATTAATTTTTTTTAAAATTATTCAAATTATTAATAAAATCTTCTGCTAAATCGAAAAGGAAAAATCATGTATAAATAAATATTTAAATATAATCTTATACACCTTTTTGCTATGTAAACAATTATAAATTTTTTTTATTATAAATTTTATGATGTTATGTAATGGCGTGATATCGTTCACAAAAGAAGCAGAAGAAAAATAAAAAAAAAAACATTCTAAAAAGAAAGAAGAAATGCTAAAAAAAAAAAAAGTAACGGTAAAATTTTTTTAAAAAAAAGTTGATTAATGTACGCCTTAAAAAAAAATTTTGTAGGTAGGTATGCAACATATAATTTTAAAAATAACCGACGCCATTTTTTTTTTTTTACTTTATTTTAAAATAATATTAATAATAATTATTAACCGAAAAAAAACGAATCGAAATGATTTTGTGATATTTAAAAAAAAAAAAAAGAAAATTTATTATTAATGGATCCCCCACGCACACGCACATACGCACACGCACACGCACATACGCACACGCACACGCACACATCCATCAATGAGAATAGAACAAACAATGTGTCGCGTTCTAATTTTTTTTTTTTGAAATTTTCAATGTTGACCTTTTTTTTCATTTTTTTTGGTAACTTTTTGTTTGTTTGTTTGTTTGTTTGTTTTTGGTTGTCAAATTAAAATATCGATTTGGTATTATCACATTATCAATTTTTAGCGTGTGAATTTTTATTTTTTAAAAAAAAAAAACAACAAAAAAACGAAAAAACGTCTTCGAACATTTTATAAAAAAATTTTTTTTTATTATTTTTCGAATCTAAAAACGAAAATACGTAATGTAAACACACGCACACGCGTACCAACGTCATTTTTCTAATAAAAAAAAAACTTTTTAATATATATAAAAAAAAAAAAAAACAAAAATGTGACGTCACTCTTTTTTTCAAAACATAAAAAAAAACAACAACGACGACGACGACAAAAATTAAATGTCTATAATAAATTATTATTATTATTATTCCTTTTTTTTTTTGCTATTTTTGAGCGAATGCTGTCTCATCACACGTCATCATCATTATTATTATTATCATCATCATCGTACGTGGAGAAAAAAAAAAAAAAAAAAAAAAAAAAAAACTTTACGAAATTTTGTACGACGTTCAAAATTTTCACACAAACTTTTTGAAAATTTTTTATTATAACCGAACGTTTTTTTTTTCTATAATCCACGTGATTAAGTATTTTTTATTATTATTATTATCGTTAGGAATTATTAAAAATTATCGTATAATATTATAAACATTTTTTTATACGAGCGAAAAAAATTCATCGTACTTATTGACGATCCCTCACCACCTTTAATTTTATTATATTAAAAATATATAGGAATATATTTAATTTTGTTTTTTTTTTTGTTAAACATGTTCTTTCGTTTGTTCGTTTGTTTTTTTATTTTTAATTATTTGTCGTACGCGACAAACACGCCAAAAACATTTTACGAAAAAGATTTAGAAATTTTTTACAATAGGACAAAAAAAAAATTTTATAAAACCACGTGAATAGAAAAAGAAAAGCAAAAAAAAATTTTTTGAAAAATGGCCAAAAATATTTTATGATGGGTCAAAAAAAAAAAAAAAAAAAATAAAATGAGAACAAATAAAAATATTGGCCGCTTTTGTCATATCTAAATAATATTATTTTGTTAATTGAAAATTTTTAATTGTATACAAGTTATTTCATGTTTTATTAACAATAATAATAATAATAATAATAATAATAATAAAATTTATTACTTTGAACGATATTTGAAATTGTTTGTTGTTGTTGTTTGTGTTTGTGTTTGTGTCTATTCAATTTTCCAGTTTTTCTCTTTAGAAAAAAAATTTAATCAAACCTTTTTTTGGTTTCTTTTATTTAAAAAAAAAAAATTTTCATCGATAAGGTTTCATCGTTAAAAATTCTTTCGATTATTTTTTTATTTATCGTTCGAATCAAAAAAATATTTCTACGGGAATATATATATAAATAAATAACAAACGGAAGTGAATAAAAAAAAAAAAAACAAAAATCGCGTTTCCGGTTTGTTTTAAATGACGTAGTAATCATCGATTCGTTAGTTATATATATAAAATTATTTTTAATAAGTTAATTAATTAATTAATTACGTAAATTTTCCCGGTGATTTACGGTTAATTAATTTTCTTTTTATAAATTCGTAAAAAAAAACTCACAAGACATTCAAGCTCTATTTAAATAAGATAATAATAATGATAATAATTATAATAAAAGTTTTTTTGTCGTCGCGAAAATATCAATATACCCATAATTAATCTGATTGGAATTTTTCCAGTAGGTAAATTTTCTTCTTTTTTTTTTTGTTTGTTAAATTATGATGACGTCAAATAATTTAATGAATATTTTTATTTATTAAAATAAAACGACGTGGGAATTGAATTATTATGTGCACCGAAAAAAAAAATTGTTTCTTTTATGTAATTAAAATTTTATTAATAATTTAAATTGAAGAGAGTTATTTAAATTGACCGTTATTATTATTATTTTGTTCAAATAATTAATTTATTATTATTATTATTATTATTGCATCGATTGTTATTAATTAACCATTTATAAAAAATGTTTGTCGTTGTTGTTTGTTGTTGTCGTCCTAATCGTTGTTAATTTAAATAAAAGCGGAGGATGAAAAACGAAAAAAAAAAAAAAATTTTTTAAAATTGTTTTTAATTAAATAACGCTGATAAATTGTTATTGTTTATTAATAATGATAATAATAAAGAGATTACTTGGGTTTTATTTATTTGAAATAGAAAATAATTGTTGTCGTGGTTTTAGAAACCGATGAAATCGTTTTCGTAAAAAAAAAAAACGACGCGTGACTAAACATTTCGTTTTATTCAAAATTTAAAAGCTTTTTTTTTTTTTTTTTTACTCTCGTAAATTTTCTTCGTTTAAATGATAATGATAATAAGTAATGCGTAAAACGTAGTACGTGTGTAACGTAATCGATAAAAAATGTAATTATTATTATTATTATTATTATTATTATTTTACCGTAATCGACGCCATTTTAATTATTATTACAAGGTAAATTAAAATGACAAGAAAAAAAAATTGTTATTATTATTACTACTACTATTCGAAAAATTGTTTTAAATTTTTTTTCCTACGAAAGAGAGAAAGAGAGAGAGAGAGATAAAGAAAGATAGACACACACACACACACAGAGAGATAGACGTATGTTTGAAAACAATTTTGTTACTTTTTTTTTTCTAGAATCGATTTTCAATCAATCAATCAATTATCATTTTGAAAACTTATTACAAAATCCATAATAATTATATTTTTAAGGGTTGAATAAAAAAATTAAGAAAATTAATATCATTATTATCATTATTATTATTATTATTATTATTAAAGGGGAGGTCGTTATGGGAGGAGACGAATATTCAAATTATTAGAAAAAAAAAAAAAAAAAATTCGACCCTGAACGTCGTGTAACGAAAAAAAAAAAAAAAAATGACAGCAAACATTCATTTTTTTTTTTATTTTCTGATAGAAAATTACATAATTGAAAAGTTTGTTGTTGTCGTTGTTGTTGTTGTTGTTGTTACGCGTTTGTTTTGTATGATTTTTTTCAAAATTTTTACCCTATCTATTTTATTTAAATTGTTGCCGCGAAATTTATGTCACGAAAACCTGGATGAAACCTACCGCCTAAACCTTTCCTCTTACTATTATTGACCAACTTAATAACAAAACAAAGGAAGTGACGTCATAATATATATTTTTATTTTATTCGAATCAATTTTTCGAATCTCTCTTAATAAAACGACGTGTAAATAGATTGATTATTTTATTTAAAAAAATTTCCGACGGAATAAAAAAAAAGTTTTTAAAAAATTATCTCGATTTAATCTAATTTCAATAGTTATGAATTATTTTGTTATGTAATTATTCGACATTTGACTATCTTTACGCGAGTTATGAAAGTGAAAAAAAATTATTATTATTATTATTTATTTATTTATTTAAAACCTTGAGCGAAGCGACGACGACTACTACGATATCCAATTAATTATTATAAAAATAATTTTCATAAATATTTTCTTTGTTTGTTCGTTTGTTGTAACAACTTTTTTTTTTGTACTCTTCGACTTTTAATGATGTCGGATAAAAAGTTTTTTTTTTTTTTTGTGAAAATTTTTTCAAAAGCGACATTTTAAAAAAAAAAAAATTTTTCTTTCTTAATAACCTTGGAATAATATCAATTTTAATATTAAATCAAAAACGACCCACCACGAATTATTATTATTTTATGTTAAAACAGCAAAACAAGAGAGAGAGAGAGAAAAACCTGTTTGTTTTTCTCGATGGCGGTTGTTTGTTGTCTGTTTGTTTTGCACCTTGAGCATTCGAATAAAAAAAAAAATTATTATTATTATTGTTGTTGCTATCGAATACCCACAATAATTTTTTTGCGATGTCTTTACATTCTATATAACACGTCATTTAGAGAGAGAGAGAAAGAGAGAGAAAGAGAGAGATTTTCCTGGTGACAGACATCATCATCATATTTACGAATAAATTGTTACATTTTTTTTTTTTTTTTCAAAATGAAACCTTTTCAACAACTACAAACGAATTGTTTTGTCAAAAGTTAAATTTAATTAATTAAAAAGAGAGAGATAGAGAAAGAGAGATAGAGAAAGAGAGATAGAGAGAGAGAGAGAGAGAGAGAGAGAGAGAAATAGTTTTATGGAAAATAACATAAGATTTTCAATGAGACTATAAAACATTTTGATTGTAAACACATGAAAGTTCAAGGATGATTTATGTCCACGTTTTCCCGTTAACAAAATAATAATAATAATAATAATAATAATAATAATAAAATCGCACTATGTGGGACGGCCCACATTCTTCGGAAAATATTATAAATAGCACCACCGAAATTCGAGTATTTGTCCCTAAGGAATCGGGTAGAAACTGGGATAAATGCTTAAAAACCCCGACAAATAAGAGCCTTGTCGTGTTTAATAGTGGACATAATAATAATAATAATAATAATAATAATAATAATATTGTCGGGCACAATTAAAAATATGATAACTAGTTGTAAAATTAGAAAAAAAAATAATAATAATAAAAAAATTACCGTCAAAAACGATTGTTGTTGTTGTCGTTGTCGCTGTCTAGGTTTAAACGTTTGTATTTGTTTCACCGACGAACAATATTCAGATTGTCGATTGTTTTCTTTTTAGAAATATTCGATGAAATTCAAGCTGGAAAAAAATTATTATTATCATCATGATTGCTTTTTGTAAAAAATGTTTTTAGAAATTTTTTTTTATTTTTGTCCCTGTTTGTTGTGGTTATCGTTGATTGTTTTCATACGCACTCGAGTTATAAAAGATTAATTTATTATCATAAAATTTTAAGTATTTTACGTGAAAATTATTTATTATGAAACCGTTTCAACGTCACAACGACAAAAACAAACAAAAACAATTTCAGCAACAACAAAAAAAAGAAAAGAAAATAATAATAATTTAAACGATTCGATGATGACGCGGTTAATCAATCAATCATTCGTAGAATAATTAATTCGACGTATTATTGATTGAATTTTTTTTAAAAAAATAATTACCGTCGGTAATTTAATAATAATAATAATAAGAAGAAGAAGAAAAAAAAACTTTTTTCATTATTTTCTGGTTTTTCTTGTTTTCAACATTTTCAACTCGTGAATAATTGAAAAAAAGAGAGAGAGAGAGAGAGAGATAAAGATATAGAAAATATAAGAGGTTGATAATTTTTTAACCTAATCATTCGATATATTTGTAAAAAAAAAAAATAAACAAGAAATAAGAAAAAAATTTAAAAAAAAAAAAAAAAAATTATTATTACTAAGAATGCGATTAAACGCGGCGGCGGTGGCGGCGGCGGCGGCGTCGACAACGGCGGCGGTTTAATGATGGAAAAGTCTGGTGTTGGTGTGAATAAGAGTTATGTTGTGATCGTTACAGGCTTCGATTACGGCTTCGTCATTTGTCGAACCAGATGGTGCAGCTATGTATTCAACTCCACTCTAAAAAAATTAATTATTTAATTGTCATGTTAATATATATTTATTATCATCCATTTTTTTTTTTTAAACCTGATATCGACTCCATAAAATATTTTATTTTGTGTAACAAATAAATTCATCTCTTCACTTTTTTTCTCAAGTGTTGATTGACACAAGATGTGTGATGTCGATGAATAATTTAAATGAAGAAGACATTTAAATATCGTAGGATGTGTAAACAAAAACTCACGCACACCATTAAATTTACGTTTTTTTAAATGAAATAAATGTTTTATTTATGCTTTTTTTGTTTGTTTCCCACTCCTCTCCCCCCCCCTCCCCCTGCTCCTCCCACGCTCATTAAATAAGGTGTGTGTATGGTTTTTTTTTTTTAATGTCAGGAAGTAATTCTTAACTTAAATAACCGATTTAAATTTTTTTCAGATGCAATTTTACCTTGACTAAAGGTTTACGTTAATTAAAGTGCTGCCATATTGATAAAAAATATTTTTTTAAAATTTAATCAGTAAATAATCTTAAGATTTGAAAATTTATAAAAAAATTAATTTTAAGTATTCTCAATCGATTTGTTTGTTTGTTTAAGTTAAATCAATTTCCGGTTTTTTTGTTATGAGTTAACTAAAATAACAAACTCGACCGTAAAATATGAATTTTATTATTCGCTTCGTCGTTCACTGATTGTAATTAAAGGAAAAAAAAATATTTTATGAAAATAAACTTTTTAATTATGTTGTCACTCACCAAACGAGCTCGATCGACATTATCCCTGAATGGGAAAAAGGCATCAGATCCCAAAGCAACACGATTTAATTTTTTTGCCCATTCTTTTTTGTCCGTTTCCGTCAATTGGGGTGGTGCTTCATCAAAGTAAGAAGTCCATTGTTCGTATGGCATATCTTTCCCTGTAATTTTTTTTTTTACCACGTGTAAAATTTCACTCATTGATTACCGTCGGATTAAAGTACGAATGATACTCACCCACTGTTCCGTTGACGTAATTATCAATCGCGTTTGATATTTCGGCTCTTTTAACACCTTTTTTAAATTTCATACCCATAACTCTCGGATGTTGTCTCAACCACCAATTATCGGCTTTATCACCTGCTAAACGAGTGCAATGAATTCGAGATTGTTGACCGGCTCCAATGCCGATAACTTGACCGTCTCTCGCATAACAAACGGAATTACTTTGTGTGTATTTTAAAGCAATCGTGGCGACAATCAAATCTCTCAAACCACCTTCGGAAACCTGAAAATTTTATTTTTTATTGTTAATTATTAATATAAAGTGTAAAAATAAAAAAAAAAAGTTTAAAGTTATAAATTGTAATAGATTCTGTTACGTAATTTTCTAAAAAAAAAAAAAAAAAGTTTTTTTAAGATAAGTTTATTTACTATCATCAAAAATATTCTTCGATTAAAATTTTTAAACTTTTCGTGTCAGTTACTTATTATTATTATTATTATTATTTTATATGATGAGATGAGAAATTTTTAAACCTAAATAAATAATTAAAGTTCGTTTGCTGTATTCGTCTTTTTATTTTAAATATTGTTTTTTTTTTTTGTAAGAATGAAGTTTTAATTACATTTTTGTTTTTAGAGACGACATTCATAAACATATTTTTGTCAATAACGGCATCGTTTCTTTTTTGTTCCATTGTTAAACCAAACAAAACTTTTCTTTCCATTTCGGCAGGTTCATAATTAGGATCTATTTGTAGAACACAATAATTTCCTCCTTTTTTTTTTCTAAGAACGTCGAGAGCGTCATTCGAAAAAGATGGAGCAATGATTCCATCGGAGACCTAAAATATAATTTTTTAAATTGATTAATAATAAAAAAGGAAAAAAAAAAATTTGTAAATTTTGTAAGGTGGCGTGTGATAATTTTTTAAATTTCTTTTTCTGTTTGATATTTGTTATTATAAAAACAGATAAGAAATTTATTTATAGATTAATAACTTTAAGAAGTATCAAAGGTCATTTTTAAAATACATTTTTGGTATTTACTTTTATATAGAGAAATTAAATATTTGTTAACTATTTTTAAATGCTTAAACAACTTTTCCAAATATTTTTAATAATTATTTTTCTTACAATTACCGACCTCTCGAGATATAATTTTAGCCGTGGCAACATCGCACATGTCCGAAAGAGCAACAAAATCTCCAAATGATGACATTCTATCGGCTCCTCTAGCTCTGGCATAAGCAGTTGCAATTGGAGTCAAGGTATCAAGCATATCATCCACTTGACATAATTTAGCCTGCATCGTAATGACATTTAACATAAGTTTTCGTATAAAAATTTCTCACCGTTTAAACCAAATTTGTTGTACCTGTGTAAGATCTAAAGGAGTCGCTACTGCAGCACCGGCTGGACTCACGTGCTTGAAAGAAGTAGCCGCGGGTAACCCTAAACTTTTTTTAAGTTCCCGTACCAATTGCCAAGCGTTTAGCGCATCGCAAAGGTTTATAAATCCTGGAGAACCGTTTACAACTGGAAAGCAGATATAATTTTTACTTTTAGGAAAAGTTACTTAAGTAATAATGATAATAATGTATAAATTTACCCTTAAGGGGCAATTGTGACAAAGTCGTGTAAATTTGCGCTGGTTTTTGATGAGGATTCATTCCGTAACGAAGAGTAAGTTGTGACACATTACTACTAAATTGTTTTCTAAAGTAATCGGAAATGGCGTCATCGTATTTGGCGGTATGAGTAAAAGCCTTTAAAGCTAATGCTTGCCTGAAAAATAATTTCGAAAATTTAATTATTTATTAATGACTCGTTTTTTCCTTTACGATTTAAAAAAATATATACCTAGTTTTCAATGTTGAATCGTTGTTTTTTCTAAATTCTTCATAAACTAAATCATAATCTTTTGGATCTACGATTACTGTAACACGATCATGATTTTTAGCAGCAGCTCTTAATAATGTTACTCCACCTAATTAAAAAAAAATTTTCTTTTAAGATTAAAAAGTTCACGTTCTCTCTTTAAGATTTTCGATTAAAATTTTTAAAGATATTTTTAGTTATTTGATTTTAAAAAAAAAGACCGGTCGGCGAGTATAATTAAAATTTAGTTTACTGTAACTTACCAATATCAATATTTTCAATGGCATCTGCTAGTACCACACCAGGTTTTCTAACGGTTGCTTCAAAGGGGTACAAATTACATACAACAACACTTATGTACTTATAATTTTGCCTTTTCATATCTTGCATGTCTCCATCCGTTTTTCTTGCTAATATACCTGAAAAAAGTTTTGTTTTTATGATACCGTTGCAATATTAAAATCATTTAATGAGTAAATTTATAATTACCTCCGTGTACTGCCGGATGAAGAGTTTTAACACGTCCGCCAAGCATTTCTGGAGCGCCGGTAATATCAGATACTTCGGTAATTTGAATTCCAGCATCACGAATTGCTTTTGCAGAACCTCCAGATCCGATGAGGGTAAATCCCAATGATTTTAATTTCTTAGCAAAATCTACGAGTCCAGTTTTGTCAGAGACGCTCAAAAGTGCAAGTTTTTCAGACATTTTGATTTCAAGGTTTTTTCTCGATGATAGTGATAAACACGTTAGAACACAATCAAGTTAAATGATGAACTACAAATTTAAAATTAACTTATTACTCTTTTGTCTCGAAAAAAAAGTTAAATATTTATATCAGCAGTTAAGGTCTTTGTAGGTCAGAGGTCAAAATAGCAAATATTTTATAGATAATAAAAATATAGTTTCTGTTAAAATAGTTCTACAACTAAAAAAATTAAATTAAATTTTTTTTTTTTTTTTTTTTTAAAGTTGCCTTTCTGAAACAAGATTAAAAACTTAACGGAAATTTTAAAAAACAAAAAAACAAGTGTTTTGGGGTTATTTAGGAAAAGAAATATATATTTACAAGATTTTTAAAAAATATTATGGGTAAACGGATTTTATTTATCATATTACCGCAAAACCGTGTAAATTAAATTTAATGAACATAAAAAGAAAAACTCATTTGTATGTTTATTATTAAATTTTTAAGTATATAATACATATTTAGAATAGGGATTAAATTTATGCATTGTAATCCATACTTATATGAAATATTAATAATAATTTTAATGAGGGTTGTTAAAAACTAAATAACTTTTATTTTAGATAATTACTTATGTTACTAAAATTTGCAAAAAATTTTGTTTCTAAGAGAAATTTTTCAATTGATTCTGTTAAAATGGTGCGTTACTTAAGTCAACAAGAGGCAATTGATATAGATCAAGAATTATTTAATGTCTACAAATATAGCGTAGACCAATTAATGGAACTTGCTGGTCTTAGCTGTTCAATAGCTATTTACAAATGCTATTCGAAACTGAAAAAAATTTTAGTTTGCTGTGGTCCTGGTTAGTGTTATCGATTATCAAGTTGTATGTGAAAATTTTATTAAAAAATTACCACTTGTAATAAATGTCTGATTTAAAAGAATTTTTTTTTTTGGCAGGTAATAATGGTGGTGATGGATTAGTGGCAGCTAGACATTTGAAATTATTCGGTTTCGAACCGAGTGTTTATTATCCTAAAAGAACTGAAAAACCGCTTTATCAAAATTTAACACATCAATGTTTAGCTATGAAAATTGATTTTTTAAACGATATTCCTGATGCTAAAGAAATGTCTAATAATTATGAATTAATTGTTGATGCTTTATTCGGATTTAGTTTTAAACCACCTGTTAGACCAGAGTTTGAAAAAGTCATGAATGTATTGGGAAAATCAAAAGTTCCAATTTGCAGTATCGATATCCCCAGCGGTTGGGATGTCGAAAATGGATGTCCCGAAAATGGCATTTTACCAGACATGTTAATTTCTTTAACAGCTCCTAAAAAATGTGCAAAGTTTTTTAATGGAAGATTTCATTATTTAGGAGGGCGATTTGTTCCACCGGATTTAGAAAGGAAATATGATTTAAAAATAAATAGTGAATATTCAGGAACTGAGTGTTGTGTTCAATTAAAATAAATTAAAATAATTTCTTACCTAAAATTTGTTAACAAAAAATAAAAAACAAAAAACATTCGAATAGCATTTGCTTTTTTCTAAAATAATTTTTTTTCCATTCATTGTAAAACAACTTATAAATTTTAAATTATATAAAATAACAAATATATTTATTAAAAATCATTTAAAAATAAAGTATAGTGTTTATCTTTTTTAATTAATCCTTAAATAAAACTTATAATCATAATTTTTTATTTCTTTAAAAGTTTATTACCAAAAATTGGTTTCGTTTAAAACGATAAAAAAATTCATTTATCAAATTTTTTTTTTTTAAGAAAAAAAAGAAACAATAACTTTAAGTAATAATTTCTTATCAATGTTTTCTATTTACTTTATGTAATATTATATCAGTGAAAAAAGAATAATAACTTTTTATGGTTTTTTTTTTTTTTTTGTTTCGAGTGATTAAAAAAAAAAGAAAATAATAATAATAAAACATTAATGAATGTCATTTCGATGATTATTTGAAAAAAAAAGAAAAATTTATCTATTTATTTTTTATTTTTAAATTTAAAAAAAAAAAAAAATTTGATAACATAAAATTATAAATATATTTTAATAAAAAGAAAAGTTATGTGAGATATTTATATGATTATGTTATTTTATTGCATACAAAAAAAAAAAAAAAAAAAAAATATGATTCTTACCTTGTAATCTCCAAATCTATTGGTTTTGATATAGAATTTCATTTTTTTATTACTTTAAATGACTTGTTTCTTTTTTCTTTTCTTTTTCCCATTTATTTGCAGCTGTTTAATTTTGTTTTACATGAAAAAAAAAAAAAATTTAAATCAAAATAGAATTTTTAATTAAAAAAATAAATATGTCTGTCAGAATAAAAAAAGAGGATTATGGTATTAAAAAAAAAAAATTAATATTTATTGTTTTGTGTGAATATAAAATAAATTTCAAAATGATATTGAATTTAGAAAAAAAAAAAAAAATTCGTTTTTAAAACAGTTTTTATTTAATTTAAATTTTAAAAATGCATCAAATTCCGAGTTCGGATGTTATTTTAAATGTGAATGACTTTTGCCTACACAGGTTTACATTACATTATAAACCAGTCTAAACATAATATTGTTGTTGTTTCATCATTTTTTCTCTTTTAAAAAAAAAATGTCGTTTATATATATTTGTTCATTAGTTTAAAATCATTGTTTTTTTTTTTTTTTTTTGCTTTTTAAATATGACAGAAAAATATAAATTGATTTATTTTAATGTAACGGGATTAGCAGAACCGATTCGTTATTTGTTTGCTTATGGTAAAATTCCCTACGAAGATTGTAGATTAGAATACGAAGAATGGCTACGTTACAAACCAGGTAAATATTATTATTAAATTAAATAAATAAATAAAAATAAATTATTACTTGTTAATTTCGTTTTTTTTAGAAACGCCATTCGGACAAATTCCTGTTTTAGAAATAAATGATAAACCGATTAATCAATCCGTTGCCATTTGTCGTTACCTCGGTAAACGTTTAAATTTAACCGGAAGTTCCGATTGGGATTCTTTTCTTATTGATTCCGTCGTCGACACTATAACGGATTTTCGACTAAGTAAAAATATTTTTAATGGTAAAATTGTTTTTTAGTTAAATTTTAAACATTATTTTATTATTATTATTATTTTAAGATTACGCATGTTATTTTGGATTAAAAACCGAAGAGGAAAAAGAATCAAAGTTGAATGAAATTAAAAATGTACACAATCCATATTATTTAGAACGTTTGGAAAAAATAGCATTGAAAAATGGCGGATATTTTGTTAACAATCAAGTGAGTTAATAATAATTATAATTTCTTAATAAAAAAAAAACAAAAAAGGTCAAAATCAAATTTATTAAAAATTAAAAAATAATTGAAAAATAATAAAGATTAATATAATATATAGTTTTTTAACTTACAATAATGAATTTAGTTATAAGAAAGAATAAAATTTTTTTTTTTTTTTTTTAATTCAGTTAACATGGGCAGACATATTTTTCTCAGGACTTTCTGATCTTTGGATCAAACTAATTAAAGAACCGATTTTAATGTCTTATCCAACACTTAAATCATTAAAAATGAAAGTTGAATCCGAACCAAATATAAAAACTTACCTCGATAAAAGACCTGAAACCGTTTACTGAAGGTGATATGGCACCACAGTTTTCAATAACGTAAATATAATTAAAAATTATTATTATTATGTTTTTTTTTTTTTCTTGTTTAATTGTTGTCAAATATTGAAACTTTTCTTTTTTTTCTTTTTAGTATTTTTGGTTTGATTAATACTCGTCTAATCCGGGTAGTGGAAAACTTTCGGAAAATTTGACAACTTCTTCTTTTAAATCGTGAAGTCTTGTACAAAATTGTGGATCTCCTGTTAATGTTTTTTTAAAATCTACTAATTTCGGTCCTGAAACACCATGAGCTTCTTTGGCTAACATCAAACCTAAAACATAAAATTGATGATGGATTTTTAATGAATTAATGTTATTTATCATTTATCAGAAAACAATAAAAAAAGTACCTCTGTGTATGAAGGAAACAACTTGTTCAATATCTTTTTCTACAAATCCTCGAGTTGTCAATGCTGGTGTACCTAATCGAATACCACTGGGATTCAATGCACTTTTATCTCCAGGTACTGTGTTCTTATTACATGCAATATTTATTTCTTCTAAAACAAATTCTCCTTTTGCACCTGTCAAACCGACAGATTTAAGATCGACCAAAACTAAATGCACTTCGGTACCATCGGTAGCAACTTTATAACCCAATTCTTGTAAGCAAGAACACAGTTTTTGTGCATTTTTAATAACCTACATAATAATGATGGAAATTTATTTATTAATTATTTTTCATTTTAATGAATGAAATGTTACATAATTTAGTCTTTAAAATATTTTCGGTCCTAATTAAGATTAAAACTAATCAATTTTTTTTTAAAGTTGATATTAAAAAAAAAATACTAATAATAATAATAATAATAATAATTATCATTTAATTATATTTTGTGTGATAAAAAAGTTCAAGAGAGTCGTTATTAAATTTTATGAATGTTTTCAACGGAAAACGGGAATGATTTATCCCATTTTGTATTTTACCTGCTTTTGGTATTGAATGAATTCTGGAGTGGCTGCTTGTTTCAAAGCTGTTGCGATTGCTGCAATTTTATTATTGTGTGGTCCACCCTGTAATCCGGGGAACACGGCTTGATTGATTCGAGATTCTAAATCGTACATGACTTTATCTCCATTTTTTTTTATGCTTCTAACTCCTTTCCTGTAAAATATCATACCGGCTCTGGGTCCTCTCAATGTTTTGTGCGTAGTCGTTGATACTACGTCACTATAATCAAACGGCGAAGGAATCAATTTAGCTGCAACCAATCCACTTACGTGTGCCATATCAGAAAACAAATAAGCATCGTTTTCATCGGCTACTTCGCGAAATTTTTTATAATCTAAACATCTGGAATAACAACTTATTCCAGCAACAATGACTTGTGGACGAAACAATCTAGCAGATTCGGCTAATTTGTCGTAATCGATGTATCCCGTTTTGGGATTGACTTTATACGGCATGGATTGAAAAAACATGGACGTAGCAGAGATTTTTTTATTAGCCGTCATGAATCCGTGGGTCAAGTGACCTCCGTCTGGAAGATCTAAACCCATGATACGATCATTCGGTTGAATGATACCAGTGTAAACAGCCAAATTAGCCGGAGAACCAGAATAGGGTTGTACGTTAACACCCCATTTTTCCGGATCTAAACCGAAAGCTTGAAGTGCTCTTTTCTGACATAGTATTTCAATTTCATCAATGAAAACATTTCCACCGTAGTATCTTTGTCCGGGAAGACCTTCAGAATATTTATTATGAAGACACGAGCTCAAACATTCTAAAACGGCTACGGAGGTAAAATTTTCCGACGCAATCATTTCCAAACCGGATATTTGTCGTTTTTTTTCTTTTTTTATTAAATCATATAATTCCGGATCCTGGTCCCACAAATGTTCGTTTAATATACCATACGTACCTTTTTTAGTTTCCATTTTATTATTCATCATATCAAACCAAAAAAAAAAAAAACAAAAACAAAAACAACACTGTCAACCGTTCAAGAATTGAAAAGTAAATGAATTATATGATTTTTAAGTTGATTTAATTGCCCCCTATGAAAAGGCCGCTGAGGTCATTTTACAAGATATTGTATTGGTCAAATCGTGATAAATCACAACAAAAAAAAAATTTAATACTTTCATTGCTTTATCATTTAAATAAGCAGAGCCAACGTTTTGGTAGTTGTAAGGTGCATAAAACATTTGTCCATATTTTACATTAACGACAGATTTTTAAAAATAGATTCTAATTTATATTCCTTCACCACCCCCATCCCCCCCGTTTATTAAATCAGTTTCAATACCGTTACTTATTATTATTATTATTATCATTTATTAAAATACATTTTGTTTTTTTTTTCAATATGAAAATAATTATTATTTTTACGGTACATAGAAACAATAAAAATTTATAATTTTTTTTTTTGATAAAAATAAAATAAAATGTTTTTATTAACTTATTATTTAAATTTTTTTATATGAAATCGAACATTATAGAAATAAATTTTTCTTTGTTCTCGATTTTAAGGTTAAAGGTCATAATTATATTTAATTTAAATGTTACGTAAAGAGTAATACGTCATTACAATTAGGTGAGAGATTTTAATAAATATTACAAAAAAAAAAAAAAAAAAAAAAAATTTATTAAAATGCTGCTTTATAAATACTCGAATTAAAAAAAAAAAATGAAAATTTAATAAATAAAATGGCGGTTAAAATGATAATAATAATAATATTATACCTATTGTTTTTGTACTCGAATAAAAATAATTAAAATCAATAATTTGACCATTATTATTATTAATAATTTAAATTTTGAATTTTTATATTTATTGCCATAATGGAAAAGTTTTTTAAATGTAAATTAAATAAAATAAATTCAATTTTAAAAATTATTTTTTATCCTTTTTGCAATTTATAAACGTAAAAATTTTTATTAAAAAGGTAAAAAAAAAAAACGTTTTCGAGTTATTAAATTTTGCTTTTTATAAAAAAATAAATTCGAATCGTAAATTTAATTAAAATTATTAAATTTTTTTTTTTTTTAATCGAATAAAACAAATAAAAATTAATAAATTGTTAAAGAAGAAGAAGAAGAAAAGTATTTACGTCTTAGTTCTTCGCATTATTTTTATCAAAAGAAAATATTTATTTGTCGATCAAATATAATTCACCAATTATATTATTTATTTTTTAATATAATATTCGATTGTTTTTTTTTTTTTCGGTAAATTAAAAACGAGTAAATATTTTTAATTTGGTTAATTGATTGAACGATTTTTTTTTTGTACGTTCACATACTTAATTTTAACATTATTAAAAATATTTATTAAAAATTATTTATTTATTTTGCCTTAATTCTGTTACTTGATTTGTAATAATTTACACGAAAAATAAAAAACTTTAATAAAATAAATATAAATAAAAAATTATTTACTTTCAAAATTTATTATCATTTGTTTCAATGAATTATGATTAAAATTAATTTGGAAACTATACTATCATTATTATTATTATTTTTTTAAAGTCTAAGAAGTTGCACAACAAATTATGAAATATTAATAAAGATATTAAAATTTATTATATAAATGGATTTTTAGATAAAAATTATTACTTTTTTTTAATAACTTTGAGTCTAATAAAAATTTATCAAAATAATTATTATAAATAATTGAATATTTTAAACAAAATAAAAAAATTTTATTTAATTATTTATTTATAAAAAAAAATTACAATGTTTCAACAATTATTATTATTATATTTTATATTATGTACAAATGTACATCAAGCATTTGCTTATTTTTTCTATATATATAAATATTTACAAAAGTTTTTTTTTATATTTTATTCTTTTTTGTTGTTAAAAATAATAATAATTTTTTTCTGAACTTTACATATATGTACAATTTAACCATTATTTTAAATTAATAAATAAATTATTATTTAAATAATTTCGATTATAAAATAAATGTAAAAAATAACTGCAGTTAATTATTAATGGCATTCGAAAATTATTTGCTTTTAAAAGTTTTTTTATCGAATGCATTATTTACTGAGGCTAGAAATATTTAACAATATAAAACTCAAATTGTACACTTTTAAGAAGTTAAAATACTATCATCACATTTTAAATGCAATAAAAAAATATACTTATAGAAAATAGCAAAATGTTTAAATTGAATTTTTAACTATATCTTATAACCTGTGTCATAAAAATAAATTTTCCTCTTTTTTTTTTTTTTTTTTTACTTTTCATTAAAATATCTACTTAAAAATGTCTTTAACTGTAACAATAAAACAACTTTTTCATATTATTTACTTTTTTAGAAATGAGGCAAGCAAACTTTGGCTGCAAAAAGTTCAGATATAACTGTTATCCACAATGCCATTACAAACAATATATATGATAATCCGACTTGGTGAGAATTTGGTAATTGATATGGCTGACCTCCGATTTCATCAATGTGAAACCCCATAGGAAATATTATGGCAGCCATACAAAACAAAACCACTAAAAAATCATTTGAATTGTAATTAAAATTTAAATCAAACAGTTTGAAAACAATTATTTTATAATCTGATAATTATTTTTAAATTGTTTCATAATGTACTACCAAATAAAAATATATATAGATTTATAAAAAAAATTTTAATGCTTACTCGAAGTAAATCCTACCCATCTGGCATATGTAATTATATTAGCATCCCAATAAGAAATAGCAATTAGAATAACTGTAATTGTAATACATATACATCCGACAATGATACAAAC